CAGCTTATTTCGCTCCGGCGATCATCGAGACGCTCGGGCATAGCGCAATCCACACGCAGCTTCTGTCCGTCCCTCCTTGGGCATGCAGCTTCGCCCTCGCCATGCTTATCGCGATCGTCTCCGATCATGTCCGCCATCGCTTCCTTTTTGTGCTCATTCCAACTGCCATTGCGCTCGCGGGGTTCGTGATTCTGCTTATGGTGCACGACAACGCGCATCTGCAGTATGCAGCACTCTTTTTGGCGGCTATGGGTACCTACTCGGCAATGCCAGTGATGGTGTGCTGGTTCAACACTAATCGTGGGCAATGATCCGCTTCTGTATACGTGCTGTTGATCAACCTAATGCGACATTCGCAGTGGCCGGTCACCACAGGCGTGCGGTTGGGACTGCTTGGCAGGTCGGATTTGGCAACAGTGAGTCTCCGTCATTTGATACTGATGTGCGCGAGGCTTACGGTGCTGTGCTTCAGTCGGTGGTATTATCGCCGTATACGCCTTCCTCGCGGAAGATGCCCCGAAATATATTACGGGGTACAGTCTCTGCATTGCATTCGTCTGCTTATCCGCCCTAGCAGATCTCGTCTATTTCCTAAGCGTAATTCACGAGAACCGAAGGCGAGATGAAGCTCGCGCCAGGGGTTCCACTATACTTGGCAAGCCTGTGGAGTCCGAAGCGGGAGATCTGAACCCGGATTACAGATATTTGCTATAGACGACCTATATTACATTGATGCCTTTTTTTCAGGAAAGTGGAGTGCTACAAATACAGAAGATACTGGAATGTCTCCGGGTATTCGGAAGCTCAAGGAAGCTCTTGTTTAAGCGTCGGTCATGAAAGAGTTCAGGTGCGAATGTGCTTGACCCTGTACAGCGCTTTGTGTCCAGTTGCGAATATAATTTTCTTCAAAGCACACAAAACGCGGGGTACAAATGAAAACGTGTATTCCATCGCTGCTTAGCCTCAGGGGCGAACAAATGCTACGTCTCGTCTCCCGAAGAATGCACTTCAAACGCTGACCAAGAGGGTGCCATCCCCGGTCTCGCCGGATATCCACTCCTCAAGCGCGTGAAACTGTTTGCGAAGGGAGTTTCTCGTTAGGTTTGCGCGGTCGTCAATGCCATACAGCTGTGTTGACTTACGGAAGAAGTATGGCAGCTGCGCAGTGACACAGCTATTTGCTTTTGGGAGGCTCAGCACAGCCGCATGCCGGCCAGTTGCAGGTGCCGCCGTTGGC